AAGAACAACATCAAAACCAAACAGAACAACCTAACCCATGATCCACTGCTACTTGGCCCAACATCATGAGTGCCAGCACTCCTCACTGCCTTCAGAGGCAGGTACCAAAGACAGAGGTGGTACTTGTCATCAAAAGTCTTAGCTTACATCCAGCTTTTCCGTGTACTAGGCTCTAGGCCTGTATTAAACTGCACAGCTGCTTGCTATCACATAATAGATTAAGAGAGGAATTTAGCATCTTTTCCTTCTCAAGTAGAATGTCTCCCTGGAAGCATCCAAATCCCCAAGTCATGATAATAAGGTCCTTCATCCCAGAATTCTGTTTTCTCCACTGTATACACAAATTAGGGAATCGCTGAGTAGCACAATGAGTTAAGTGCCCAACTAGTAGCTGAAATGTCAGTGGTTCAACCTCACCCAGAGATGCTTCAGTAGACAGACCTGACAATCGCCTCCTAGCAGGGGCAGAACATTCTTGAAAATTCTATGGCACAGGCCCCCTCTGCACATATGGGGTCTTCATGAATTGGAATCAACTCATCAACAACTAACAACAATACAGCGATCTGATTACAGCCTTTCTGGTCCTAACTCTAAGCTGCAAAATGCTGCCCTAACACCTTCCTCATCCAGACTTCTGGGTCAGTTCAGAATCCTCAGCTCTAGTTCCTTTGCAGGCAGCAAATCCTCGCTCAGCAATACTCCTCCCTCATCTGAAAACCTGGTCTCCAGAGAGCGGCGACGTGAGTGATGTCAGTATGAAGCACCACAGTGACTCGTGGCTTTCAGGATTTCTTGGAAAGATTTAGATGCTCCGGAGGAAAAGGAGTCACTTCAAAGCGGATGGAGACCTCTGCTGGCTCCAACTGTCCATGCAGCCTTTTAAAGCTCGTTCAGAATTGCACGGAACAATCAGGCCCTGCTCATTCTCAGTTCATATCCAGGAGTATTAACGGGGATCCTGGGGTGTCAAATGCTAGTGCAGCCAACTTTCTCAGTTATTCCCGCCAAGATCAGGCTAACTCGACGAAGACCTACAGAGGGGAAAAACTGACAAGCATATTCTGGAAAGAAAAGGACCAGGCAGAGCACCACGATCTTGGGGAGGAGAAGTTAACCATCGACAGAGCAGTGGTCCTCACCAGGGCTGAGCACACCCATGAGCCAATGGCAATGCCTAGAGACATTGTCCGTCACCACAGCTTGAAAGGAGGGGGTGCTGGTGGCACTGAGTATCTGAATCTAGTCATCCTTCTTTCTACCCGAGAACTGCTTTGGCCAGGTCACCTGACATCTACGTGAGATTGGTCTAATCTAGAAAAGAGATCAATTTTGGCACACAGACTACTAGGAGACAGGAAGGGGGCTAAAAGGGAATCAGGGTGGAGTGCTTCAGACTGTCAGAGAGGGGCACGAGGGGAGGGAGTGTCAGAAAACAAGATAGCTCTAGAAAGGGAGGCAGAAAGTGCCAAGACTGCTTTTATTTGGTAAGTTGGTATAAAGTAGGGAGTGGATCTGTCACCACACCCAAATCAAACCCACTGCCCTCACAGTGACCACACAGGACAGGACAGAACTGGCCCAGAGAGTTCCCAAAGCAGCAATACTGACAGGGCAGACGGCCACGTCAGTCTCCCCCAGAGTGGGTGATGGGTTTGAACTGCCCTCCTTTCCTCTAGACGGTGAGTGCTTAACCAGAGCACCACCACCTTCTGGCCCACCACCTGGGAAGGCAATCTGTCTCTGGGATAAGGGGAGAATAGATGACAATTTCATTATGGATATCATCAAAGCAGGCACGTTCTTAATGGGGACAAAGGCTTCACAGACCAGGGAGTGACTTGTTACAGTCACACAATTCAGAGGCACCGCTGAACTCAAGCCATTCAACTCCAAACCCCTGTGAAGCCAAATCATGTAAAAGCACCCCATTTTTAAAACACTTTAAACTGTCTGATTCTGTCACTGAAAATCAGCAGTCAAGCTTATCTCATACTTGGGGTTGGCAGACCTCACCCCATGGGATACAAGGGCTCTGTGAGTTGGCCCTAGCTCTCTGTTCCCATCAAATGATCCCCTTTCCCCAGCGTGAGGGAGGAGGCGTGGAGGAGGCAGCTGAGCGCAATGTGCTCCCCTGCTGCGTCTTATCCTTTTCCCCTCACAGACTCTCACAGAAGATGGTATCTGTTTTATTGTGCAATTATATACTTAGATGTGTTAATAGATCAAAATGTCCTAAAATGTTACCTGAAGATCACAAACACCGAGACTCTCCAAGGGGTGTTTTCTTTCCCAGGAATATCAGAACCACACACAGGTTGGGAGCAAGAATCCAGAGATCTCTGTGCTGATTTCTGAACTCAGAGGAGGTCGGCAGTTAACTAACAATTACGGAGCCCAGAAACTGAAAATGAACACGTGTATTCTGTGAAAAAAACCTGCCTACTGGATAAGATCAACCTGCAACTTCGAGCTGGAATGCCTAAATGTTTTCCTACGTGAGGTTACCGAGTCCCAGAGATAGTGGGTACTTGCCTGAGGCACAGAGCTGGGAACCAGCAGAGCTAGAATTCCATGCAAACAGGCCAAGTTCAGAACCTACAGAATCAGCCATTCATTACATGATGTGGCTACTTCTGAAGTTTCAGAAACACAGAGCCATGGCAAAGAGGGTGGACTAAGCGTATGCATTAACTTTCACTCCTTTGTGAAACCCTGATAACAATTAAGAGGATGTTTTGTTGTTGATTATAACACACCAAGACATACATCAATTGAATAGTTTCTACGTGTATAATTCAGTGACACTGGCTACATTCTTTAAATTGGGGAATGACCCTTACCTGCTTTTTTCCAAGTGTTCTTCCCCATTAATATAAACTCTCTGTCCCTAAAGTTCCTATCTTTTGAGTTACTGCCATAAATTTGATTCCACAGAGACAGTTTTTTAAATGCATATGCTCACAGCAGACATTCATTTTTAGTCTTTTTCCCCCTCACATACTGCCATTGAGGGCAACCAACTCACATCTGATCCCTCAGTGGTTTTCAGACACAGTAAACTCTACACGTAAGGAGACTGCCCATCTTTCTCCCTTGGAGTAGCTGGTGGATTCGAACTGACAGCCTTTGGTTTGGCAGCACAACATCCTATCAAATAGGCCAGCCAACCGTTGTCTGGTTTTTAAGAAATTGTCAGGGGGTATTTTTAGTTTAAGGTTTACAGATTTTCTTGGGGCAATGGTTTCAGGAGTCCATTCAGGCTCCCTCGCTCTAGAAAGTCTGGAGTCCATGAGAATTTGAGCTTCTGTTCTGCATTTAAAGAGGACTGGTTTTTTTATTTTATCTTTTATTTTTATATATACAATCATTCATATGCATTGTGTTTCTATCTGTACTTTGTGTTTTATATATTCATATACATTCTATTGTATATCTTTAATTGTAGCAGGAGTGGCAGCCACCTCCCAAATAACGTGCTTCTGGAAACTCTATGAACTTTGATAAATGTCGATGGTTGTAGAGGGGCTTCAGGCCTTTTGTTCATGAGGTTGCTATGAGTCTTGCTCAACTCAAAGGCAATCAACAACAAGAAGCCTATTATGGGAGTTCTGGTGGCCTAGTGGCAAGAAAGAAGCTACACTGCAATCCCAAAGGCATGCAGCGGTTCAAGGCGACCAGCTGCTCCATGGGAGGAGAATGGACAATCTCCTTCTGTATGATTAACTGCCTCTGAAAACGCCAGAGGGTCAGCTATGGGCCGGTTCCAACTCTATGGTACACAACAACAATAAGCCTATATGTCAAGAAGACAAAGTTTCTCACCACTGGACCAACTGGCAGCATCAGGATGGATAGTGAAGAGATTGAAATTGTTAACAACTTTAGTCTGCTTAACTCCACAGTCAACACTCTTGGCACCAGTAGCCAGGAAATCAAAAAACGTATTGCAATGGGAAAGTCTTCTGTTAGGGACTTCTCCAGGGTACTGAAGAGCAATGGTGCCACTCTGGAGACTAAGGTGTGTCTGATACAGGCTACGGTCTTTGCGATCGCTTGTTATGCATCAGAGTTGGACAATGACTAGGAAGGATAGGAGAATTGATGCCTTTGAGCTGTGGTGCTGGAGAAGAGTATTGAATGTACCATGGACTGCCAAGAAAACAAACAGATTAATCCTGGCGAGGGTTAAACCAGGCTGCTCCTTGGAGGCAGGGATTCTGAGGCTTCGTCTGACATACTTTGGACATGTTATAAGGAGGGACCAGTCCTTAGAGAGGGACATCATGCTTGGGAGGGTGGAGGAACAGTGCAGGAGGGGAAGACCCTCTATGAGGTGGACTGATTCAGTGACTGGAGTAATCGGGATGGGTGTGAAAGAGGCAATGTGACTGGCACAGGATAGAGCAGGGTTTAGGGCTACTGTACATAGGGTCACTATGAGTCACAAGCAACTTGACGGCACATAACAACAATAACTTCTCAAGTCCCCACTGAACCTTTCACATTACGTGACCCCCCCCCATCTACCCACCAACCTCTGCTATCCCATTGATTGCTCCCTGCCCCTTTTTCTGCCCCACTTCTCTCCTTCCCCTCTGGAACATTTAACATATCTTGCCCAGTTATCCTACTTCCACAATAGTATAAAGTCAACATTACACAGCAAACTAAGCTCCCATTACACAGAGGCACTGCCCTAAAACCCCTCACTTCCACGGTTGTCTTAGTCCCTAAAACCATCATCTGCTACATATCTCTCTGAGACATTGCTAGACACCTTCCCTGATAGGTTTTATTTCAAACTTTATTTCTAGCATGAGAAATAGGCACATCGTTGAGAAATGGATTCATCTAAACCTACGTTCTTAGTTTTTAAGTCGGCCTAGCTAAGAAAGTGCAGGAGACAGAGTTCACGCACACAGTCTGATGCCACCCCTCTTGCATGCAACGCAGTCAACACCTGCTTCAGCATTGCCCCCTGTCACCTCCCCTCTTACCTGTCTCTGCATTTCTTCAATCTGTCTTTGGGGAAGGCTCTGCAGAATACTGTACATGTCTGACATCTTTTCTTCTGGTACAACCACAGATGCTCTGGAGACGGTAGCAAAACAATCCGTAAGTGTACAGCCTTTCGCACAAAGCGCATCAGCATACATTGCACAGCTTAACTCTCACAAGCAGAAACAACACCCTGACCTCCTTTGGTCTCATCTCCCTTTGCTCTTGCTTTATCAGGATCAGACGTTTAAAGAAGTTTGCTGTACTCACCGGCTCCACCAGCTCCATTCACCCTTCCGCTGCCCTTGCCATCACTAGAGCATTTCAGTTCACGGCCACCGCACATGAAATTCTGCCTGAACATCTTTCCGCAGTCCCACTGATCTCTCTGAATGAACAATTCCTCTTCTCCTTTAGTTATCTACTCAAATCCACTCACTATTCAGTATGCACTTACAGCGTGCCTGTCACATGCTCGGGAGCTCTGACGGCATAGTGAACTGGAGCTGCACTGCTAACCAAAGGCAGGCAGTCTGAATCCACCCGCTGCTCTTCAGAAGAAAGATGGATAATCTCCTCCCGTGCAATTTATAGTCTCTAAAATCCCACTGGAGGGTCTTCTGATCCATTGACAATGAAAGTTATTATGTGCTGCCTCCTTCTAATAACATTCAAAGCATGTGAAATGAAGCCTCACAGTCTCACTTCTAAGGAGCATTCTGAAAGGCATCATGCCTGTTAATGTAAAAGGTCATCAAAAAAGATGACCACTGTGAGACAGGATGACACAGACGCTCACCAGTACTCGTGTGCTGATGCCACAGTGAATACACAAGACAAGGGGGGGGAAGGGCCCAAGTCCTGAGAACACCTGCGGAAGGGCCTCCCAGGCAGGCTAAGATGTGACAGCCTCGAGGACCAGCATGTGGGGCATGTTCTGGGTGCAGCAAGGTGGCCACTGTGGGGGGAACGGCGTAAACAAGGGGAATGGGGGTAGGAGGGGCCCCGCAGAGCACACAGGCCTTGGACAGCACTGTAAGGACTCGAGTGTTTACACTGAGATGGGAACATTTTGGGTAAATATACAGCAACTATCAGATTAAGTTCCAGCAGGCTTGTTCTGCCCGTGGTATCGAACAAGCTACAGGAATCAGAGGGAGCTCTGGTGGCTGGGTCCATAGAAGTCGTGCTATTAACCCAAAGGTGGTGCCTCTGGTGGGATGAGTCCATCAGCAGTGATGGCCAATCCCCTTTCATGTGATTTATAGCCTCAGAAAACCCAGATATGAGTCAGTTCCAACCCAACAGCAACAATGAGTGAGTTTTTTGACCGGGAATCAGGAATTTGAACCAGGGTGACACCAGTTCTGTTATGACCCAAAACGAGAAACTTGAACAGATGTCAAATTTTGATGATCCAGAATGCCAATCAAAAGAGGGGGAAATTACAGGTCAGTGTCCTGGAATGGGGAGACTCTGAAGAGCTGCAGGAAGCCCTTTCCAGAGCCTGATGCAAGGCACTGATTACTGCCAGAGCTGCGGAGAGGGACAGGCATTCAAAGCTGCAGGACTGGCGGCCATCTCTGTTCCTGACTCTGCCAGTCAGGAGATTTGTGTGCTGTGTGACACACACACTGACCTTGCTCAAAGAAGGAGACTCTAGCAGGACTTAAACCTCTCGTTTTCCCCATTCCAGTTAGCATGCGAGTTCACCCACGCTGTAAAAATTCGGAACCACTCTGTGCCACTTCAGTGGCTAGAATTAAACCAGTCTGAATTCGTTCAAAGCAGGGCTTCAAACACACATAAGGTACAAACGCATGCACACACACAGAGAATCTGCACTTTTCCCAAGACACAGTGAATCAGAACACACAGTTTAACAAGAATCCCCAGGTGATTCTTAGGTATACATTCTCACTAAAATATAGATGCTGATTCAGTACAACTGGGCACTTTCTCTCAAGAGTCACCTGAAGATTCTTGTTAAAATGTAGATTCTAATTAAGAGTATCTGGGATGGAAATGCAAATTCTCTGCAGGCAATCAAACTGGGATGAACTAGTCCAAGGCCCTGGGGCAGAGCCCTGAAGGAAAGCAGGAGAAGAGCGAGAACAGCCGTAGACCTCTGCAAAATCCAGAAAAGAGACCCTGGTCAGGAAGATGCAGATGAAAGCGGCATTGCAGTGGTCAACACCTACACAGACTGCAGGGTGTGCTAATGGATTAGACATGCTGGGGAAAAGGAAGAGGAAATCCAATGACGACTCTTCCTTCCCAGCATTAAGCACAGTTTATAATTACTTCTAGAAATTTCTTGACGTCTGCACTCTCCCACGAGGCTAGTCCATTAGAATGGAAGTCACATTTTGGATCTTGGTTCCACTCACCAGCATATCCTGAGCACCTGGCTCAAGGCCCCGCGCACGCGCGCGTGTGTGTGTGTGTGTGTGTGTGTGTGCTCGCACACATGCATGCACATTCACACACACAGACACACACACACATTCACACATTGCTATTGATTCCAACTCAGGGCTACCCCTGGATTTCTGAGGCTGTAAATCTTTACATGGGAGAAGACTGTCCATCTTTCTCCCACAGAGCAGCAACCAGTAGATTTGAACTGCCAGCCTTTCAGTTTGGAAGCAGCACAACGCAGAACACCGTATCACCAGGGTTCCTTGCCTAACACACGGCACTTAGTAAATACTAAGGAAATAAATGCATGCTTTCTACTCTACAGTTGAAAAATCTGAGGCTCAAAAGCCATTAAATAATTTGCCGAGATTGCAAAAGGCAGCTACAGACCTAGTAATCTGAACCCAGGCCACCTGGCTCCAGATCCGGAATTCTTTCCATCCCGTATCCACAGTGACAAAAAGCAGACCTGGATTCTTGTAGGACTATTCTTTAAGAGTCTGTCCAGAGTTGCTCTCGCTGCCAAAGCCCTCACACAATATTGTACTAGTCTTCCCCACTAGATTCTGACCTCCTTAAGCTCCGAGGCTGTATGTAGACTCTCTAATATATGTGAGCTAAATGAAGGCATCATAATGAATGCTATTGAAACTGCTCAAGGAACTACAAGAATCACACTTGGAGAGAAATCTCAAGTTGGGAGAGGAGAAAGCAATTAAGCATCTGCGGCAGGGAAAGCCTGCAAGGCACACACAGAGCGATTAATTTTCAATACTTTCAATCTGCAATGTCTTGGCAAAACAAAACAACTTTAGAAAAGAGGTATTTTTCACCGACCACAGCACTGGCAGCCACGACCAAGCAGAACCTACAGGGTCTGTTTCTAGCCTCTTGTCCACATGGAGGCACTTGATCTCTAGTTGGTTCACTATGAAGGCGAAGCAGCAACTATGGCTAAAACTCGTAGTAAAGGGACTTTGAAAATTCAGGCTACCTAGGCTGGGAATGGAAAAGTCAGGAAGAACAGTGGTGTATTCACAATCAAAAAGGCCATTTAAAGATCTATCCTGAGTACAATGCTGTCAGTGATGCTCTCAGTGATAGGATACTATCTATGCACATATAAGGAAGATCTGTTAATATATAACTGTTACTCAAACATATGCACCGACAGCTAAAGCCAAAGATGAAGAAATTGAGGAATTCTATCAACATCTTTTCAAGCACTTGTTATGACTCTAAGAGTAGGACTATGAATAAGGATGACAGAAAAAGAATGGATGTCTTTTGAGCTGCAGTGTTGGAGAAGAGAACTGGATATCCCAAGGACTACCAACAGAACAAACAGCTATGTCTTAGAGAAAGTGCAGCCAGGGTGCTCCTTGGAGGCACGACGGCGAAGCTATGTCTCACACACTTTGGACATGCTGCTAGGAGAGGCTATTCCTTGAAAGGTACATCATGCTTAGAAAGGTGGGGGGTCAGTGAAGGAGGGAAGACCCTCAACAAGACGGATGACACAGTGGCT